AATCCCTTTGTCAGGTCGTTTTTTAGGTACTGTTTGTGAGCCTGCATTGTGAAATTCCACTCCTGTAATACTATGTTTAAATCCACCCAAAAATGGTTTACGATAGGTAGGTCTTTCTATTTTTACAGTTAAATCTTGAAATGAATCAGAATCTGTTAAAATGGAAGTTATAAGATCAAAATATTATTTAAGTAACAAGCTGAGTTAATATACACTAGTACACATTTGAAAACACCATTTACCTGTTTGTACTCTGACAGTTATTATGTCAGGCATGTGGTATTCCCGTTGAATCACTCTCCTAGAAAACTGTTCTGAATCAAGACATAACGCCTCAGTCTGGAAAATTCCAGGAGACTCTGCCCCAGTTCCTGGAGCAAAAAAAGCAGGGGAAAAAAAAGGCTACTTTCTGATGTTCTCAAAACAAATAAATTTATTATTAAACGAGCCTACCTTGAGATGATTTCATTGAAACACTGCAACACAGTATAATCATGAATTACTAAGCTGAATAGTTTACACGAAAACTGACAATTATATCTAATGTAATATTGTCACTAGAAAAAGCCACTCATTATACCAACCAATGAATGAAAATATTTACTTATTGTATTTGCAAACAAAGATTTTTAAGTCAAAGCTATTTATTAAATACACTTAGTATTTTTTGAAATTCTGACCAAAAGCTGCTCTAGTTTAGACCTGATCTAATGGCTGAAGGAGTGAACTCTGGTGTGAGGTAGCTGACTCATTGGGGCTTATTGTGGGACAATATTTTGAACCGGAAGACTTGTAGCTTCAGAAGTTACTTTGCAGGTAACTTTCCAGGTTCAAAGCACAGAAAATAGGAAAGTGGCAGGTGAATGACAGGAGGTGCTACAGATTTAAATTGCTGAAATGTTTGCTATGACCCAGTCCAAATTGTTAGCTCAGAGCCCATACACTTCTATAAATTACGCACTGCTGTTTTTAAAATACGTGTGCAAAACACTGACGCATACTCATGCATGTTTTCAGAAAGTAGGATCACTTTATAAAACGCCATTCTTCAGTCCATATATTGCTTCCAGAACTTCAGGTAAGTACACTACACACCTTCTCAAGTTGTTTTCTTACATGGCAATTTTCAGAGTCACCTTAAGATCCAAACTATGCAAACTTGAACCGAATTGCAGGGGGGAAGGTATGCAAGAAGCCATAGTCAACTTGATGGAAAAATATATATATATCTTTGTAAAGCAGAAACGTTCAGTGTTCAACAATTTTTTTTACCTGTTACCATGACACTTGCTGCATCTTCTGACAGCGCTGAGTCTTGAGAAGTTTGCCGCTCCTCTTCTGAACGCATTAATTCAGGAAAAGGAGGGCGCTTTGCAGTTGTAGCAGGGGATGCAATGCTCGAGGCGTTGGGCTCAAACCCGCCTTGCTCCACATTCTCCAGCAGCTCTTCCCTGCGGCCCAGGCCCTCCGCTGACGGCAGTGTGGGCTCCATGCCAGCCTCATGCTCGCCCTGCTCCTCGCCCTCCTCGCCACGCTGCTCTGTGGCCGTAGCCCTTTCTGAAGACCAGGCTCCCACTGCCAGGTCGCCATCGTGAGGGCTCCCAGGGTCCTGTACTGGGGGAGTCCCAGGGGGTGGCTCTGTACCTGATGTTTCTGTTTCATCTACTTTGCTGCCACTACCTGAGGTATCGTCCATTCCCTACCTCACAGCTTGCACATGGCTAAGCTCTCTCCAAGAACAAGCACTTCTGAAACGCACCGCAGGCCCCGGGGT